TGCCTGCTCTCTCCTTGACAGACAGCTGGGGCTTCTGCTCTCTTTTCCGCTCCTCTCATCCCTTTGAACCTGGAAATAAGAAAGAAACTGCTTTCCCCTGCCAATCGCATCTTCAAAGCTTGAGCTCCAGGGGTCCAGGGCCTGGCACAATGCACACCATTGTCCTTTTCGGAGGCTGAGAGTCAGCCAGAACACAAAGGCTGGGGAGACACTACCCAGTGCGCCAGGAAACTCACCCAGGTCAACAAAAGCATCTTCTCCCTCGCTGAGTCCGAACACGGTGAGGGAGGGGGCCTGGGGTGACAGTGAATATGAGCTATTGTCACGGAGAGCCCAGTGCACGGAGGGACCTGCAAAGGTGATCAAACAGCCCAGTCCTCAGAGGGAAGGGGTGGGGTGAGGGGGGACATCCAAAAAAGCCCTTGTCCCTCTTCAGATCTCTCCTTATCTCCTCTGTCTATCTCCTGGGTTTAGCCTGGGTGTACTTGCTTGCAATTACCTCCTACAAGCCAATCAGGCGCCAAGCACAGCCCTCGGTCCCCTTGACTGAGGTGATTTATAAATGACTCACTGGCTTATTTGAGCACAGACCTCTGCACACCTCCTTGGGAGCACCTCTCTGCCTGGGCTTTCCTGCCACATCTGCAGCTCCCCTCGCAGAATTAGCCCTTTCTTCGCCCGGCGAGGCGCAGGTAAGCCCAGCTCCCAACAATTGTGCTCTTTGTCTGGGTGGGCGTGGGGGATTTACACTCTGGTTGCACAGCCACTGGGTGTGAGTTTCAGTATTTGGAGAACTGCTACTTTTTTTTTTTCCTTCTTTTTTTTCTCCCTCCTTTTGCAAAGGGGATTTACAGCAGCAGATTTACTCAGGAATTAGCAACACCAATGATCCACGAGCTTGATTTATGAAGAGAGGCTGGAAGAGCCAAATATGTGAATTAACTATTACTAGAATAAATCCTGCCATCTTATCCTAGCTGGCTCCTGGTGAGATCTGTGGGGGAATTTGCCTAGTATTGCAGAGGTAACAGTGACTGGAGACCCTCTGGTTCCTTGCTATTATCAGAACTTTCTGTGCATAAGGCTATATATAAACTGGTCCCTGCCCCAAGGATGTTGCAGCCTAAATTAGACGTTGTACATACAGGCATGGAAAGAAACAATGTGGAGCTTAGTGCAGGTAGGTAATGGCAGGGGAACACTTGTTGTGTATAGGAATCTAACAGGGGCAACAAGTTCTTTGGTGCACAGGACATCCCTGGGCATGCATGCATGGCTGTATGCATGCTCTAAGATTAGGAGGAAATTTTAAAGCTGGGATTGAGAAGTCCTCCCAGACTGAGAGCTGTTAAGACTGGGTGAAGGTCTCCAGCTCCTCCCAGTGCCGTTTCATGGGATGTTTAGGTCCAGTCTCGGCAGAACTCCTCAAATATAGATATGAGAAAAGATCTCCATAAGCCTGCTATATTGCTGTAAACCGCAGTTCACAAAGCTAGGATACTTTCCTCTCTGCCCCGATTAAGTTCATCCACAAATATTTCTGAGCAAGCCAACAACTCAACCTGGGGACCTGTTCTTCTTGCCCTTGAAGAGAAGTAGTCCTTGAAGTGACATTTGTTGCTGGCCACACAGTATTTCTGGTCATGGGTCAAGCTTTTCCTCCAGCTTCCCAGGAGGGAAATGCTCTCCATCTTCCAGCTCTGGGAGAGGATGGGCTGGATGAGCCAGGTATTTTTTCTTCTCTAAAAGCAGATCCATTGGGGCAGGGAGCTTGCGCATGAGAGGGCTCGCAGCAGGCATCTGGGATAAGCATTTGCAGGCAGTGCAAGAATGCTGGAGTCCGCAAACCTTTTAATTCCTTGGGATTTGCATTGCCCACCTGCTCTTCAAAGGCCAAGGGCAAGGTCTTGTGTCAGAGGCATGCGGAGAGCAGAGACTCACGGTGGTGAGGGACATAGAAGTTTCACTTTTCCTTCTATTAAGTCCACTTTCAGACCTTTCCTCCTCCCCATCCTGAGGGCTCTGCATACAGAGAGAGCAGCAAGGAGTTAGGGAGGAAGGATATACCACTTTCCAGGGGACAGACTGAGATGCTATTAAAATCAGGCATTGCACTCTGCCTGCCAAGGAGCTGGGAACCTGGCTCCTAATACCACAGTACTGCGCTCAGCAAGGTGACATCTCCAGGGGACTGCAGACCAGGCATGTGCAGGGCAGCCGGCAGCTTTCAGAGGATGATTATGGGGCCATATTTGCATCCCAAAAGTAGGTTTTCATACGGGTTCCTTTGCCTGCTTCCTAGCAGAGAGGTCAAGGACAAAAGAGGGTTCCTGTTGCATGGGCAGGCAGCATGGACGGAGGCTATGAGCTGGGGCTGTAGATAGTAGGTGCTTTGGGTCTCCAGAGCCATCATGCAGCACTTTTCACTTGCAGAGAGTCACTTTGCTGCTGGCAGTCTTCAGACCACAGCCAGTAGAAGAAGAGCAGCTCACACTCAAAGCCTGCGTGGATGGGCACATTGCAGCACCCCAGGCCCTGCACCCGCTGTCTTACCCCAGCCCAGCCCTCCCTCAGTGGGGAACCATGCTGGATCTAGCTACAAAAGCAATGGAGAACTAGGGTGGGGTTGAGAACAAGTGGGTTAATCAAACAAATCGCAGCAAGAGCGGGCCAAATCTGGGCTCATCTACCCTGGTGTCAGTGCAGGTCCCATGTCTCTGTGGCACTTGCTGCAATTACAACGGTGTTAATGAGAGCCAAAGCCAGTCTGCTGAATGTAAGCATTTTATTTAATAAAATCCCTTTGAACCAAACACTTTGGCTTCACCTTCAGTAGCTGGCAGATGTCTGCAGATCTTATTATTCTGGTTACCAAGTGCAGAGCTAGTTTGGTTAGAAACTCATGTGAAGTGGTACATCAAACATTGGCACTGGCCCAGCAACAGCAGAAAAAGAGTACAGTGCAGAGCTCTTGCCCAGTGCCTGTGCTGGGCTGGGTCGCTTAGAACAAGAAAAGGGCCATCTGCCTTGTGGAAATCACCTATTTAACACTCCAAATATTTAATCTAAACAAAAAGAAAACATTGATTCAATGCCTAGCTCCTCTGTGGCAAAAGGAGAGGAGTGGAGGAACAGGACAGCTGCTCCAGAGGGGGACCTTCAAGCTGAGGTTGTGGCATAGTCTGAATATGAGATGTGAAGGTGGGAGCTGGAGAAAAACAGATCTATATCCTCCCTGCCTCAGCACCCTGGGTGTACGGCTTAGACTGTGCCTCGACACGGTCAGACAGGGCCAGTGTGCACTTCTGGTTGCTCTCTCCCTCCTTCGCTCTCACACTCTCCCTCTGGCTTTTATTCCGCCAGCTGTCGTGCTGGTACCTGCATGCTGTCCACGGAAAATTGACTGAAACAGCTCAGCCTGTATTGAACTTTGTTGGGTCTGGCACTTTTCCTTTTCTGAAGCTAAAAGCCCTCTTTGGGATAGGATATTTTTCATAACTGATCTATACGCTCTCCTAGCATTAGCCTCTTCTATTCCCAAATGGCAGAGGTTAAGAAACATAAAAACCTATGGCCAAATATTGTATATTTTCAGTGCACAGTCACAGAGCATGCAGCTGATTGCTCAGTCCTCTGAAATACAACCACTAGTACTTGGCTCCACCTGTTCCCCTTCACCAGCTTAGCTGTATTACTATAAAAGATGTTTTTACCAGGATACTTGTGCCAAGAATGCAAGAATATGGATCTGGCTTTATGAGTGAAAGGTGCTTTCTTCCTGAATCACTTAATTTGTAGATGAGCCCTACAAGTAATTCAGAGCTAATGCTGAAACAAAACTAAATTGGATCAAAGTGATTTTAACTCTGAATAAAGATATGCCCAGTTAAATGGTCCAACCGAAGAAGTTAATCTGAACGAACAACCCTGAGGGTCCCTTGGTGACAAGCTCTATGTATGACCCAGCAGCGGGACTCAGGACCTGGCCTGTCTCCAATGACACGAGGCCAGAGAGAGTGAGGGGGGTGGATCCGCTAGGCTGATCAGCATACGATAGTGGGGGTGAATTATATAACATTCTTTTGAAATACCTGAGCTGACTGACAGCAGAAACCTCCTTTTCCTCCTGCCTGTGTGCTTTGCAAGCCCAGCTCAACACCAGAGGTGTGAAAAGGAGAGGAAAGCCGGGTGTGCGGTGGGAGGGTGAGGCAGGGTTCAGTCTGGGGGAGAGCACCGCAGCACGGCAGCACCCAGCACTGCTCCCCACGGTCTGGGCTGCCCTCCTGCCTCCAGGTACCACTCCATCCAGCTGGGGAGCAGCCTTCACATTTTGTCTGTAGCCAGGAGGAAACCTTCTCTGAACCAAGACCTGTGAGCATTTGCACTCTTGTCTGTGGAGCCTGTATCTTTGTCTCCTTGCTTTGGTGTGGCAAGGGGGAAGTGGGAAGTGGTGATTGCAGCAGGCTTGGGTTACACAAAGTACCGTCAGAGCCACCTCATCCTTCCCTGTGTCACACCCTGGCAAGGAAACACAGCAAGGATTTCAGGTGGAGGCAGTGATGGATTCTTTCCCCGACCTTGTGAGGCTCGGCCCTTTCACTGCAGTGCCCTGGCGCTCCCATGGCACCTACAGCCAGAGCTGCAACCAGGGCCCTGGGAGTCACGGCAGACACTCTGCCGAAAGCACTCATTCAGGGGAACCAGAGTTGAGACCTTGGTCCTCGTGTCGCAACCAAACCCTTGCACCTGTGCTTGCCTTGTTCAGGCAGACCTTTTGCCTCCTGGAGTAGGGAAGAGTTGCTTTTTATAACCCTTTCTTGGGCAGTGGAGGTAGGAGAGAGACTTTTTAGTGAAGATTCACCCAGGCTTTGGAAAGGACTAGACCTCTGGACTCCTTCAGCTGAGCAGCAACCAGCAAGGAGAAGATCTGTGTGTGCATACACTTGTGCATGAAGGGGGAATAGAGAAGGGTTGGAGAAAGGATCAAATAGTATTTCTGAAGCATCAAATTTTTCTCCCTAAAATACAGAGGGCTGAATTTACACCCTGCTACAGCTTCCCTGAATGTCCCGCTCTTACACTGAGATGAAACTGGCCCCTTATATTATGCATAATACAGTGAACATAGATCAGATGATTGCTTTTCCTACTAATTTCTGATTCATACTCCCTGGACCAGAGTCCCTTTCCTGGGACTATGCCAGCATAGGAAAGTGGCTTTACGCCAGTGGGTCCTATCAACACTAGCTAGAAACCTCAATGTGACTTTTCTCTTCCCCGACACAGCTATCACCAGCACAGGGACAGAAGATAAGGGCTCAGTAAGTGCATTTGCAAGACGAACACTGGGGAAAAAAGTCTGTGCTTGGCACACGCAGGGTGTTCTTGAGACTGGCAGGACAGGGATTAGCCAGGTATGAACTGATGGGATTGTTGGCTGATGACCTTCTGGGACAACTTCTTTCTCCCATATCATATGCTTGGAGTGACACAGTTCCACCTTGATTTGTTGTTTGCTCCAAGCATCACATCACAGTTACATATTCAGTGTTTCAAAACTTCTCTGAGACCTCAGTCTCAGTAGACTTATAACCAAGGCCAAATTTCAGTTTTCAGCATCATCTGCTCTAACCAACACACTAGAGGACTGGATTTCCTGAAAAGCTCAGCTCATAGCAGGGGCTCCACACATGGAGCTCTTCTCCCAGACCCAGCCCTTTATTTCAGCACCCATGCTGCAAAAGAGCTCTTGAAAATCCTGGCCTGTGCAACTTACTGCCACTTTACTTTTCTTTCCACACATCACAGCGCTTCAGTCAGTGTCCTGCCCCAACTAGAGTTTAAATCAGATCTGCAGCTCGCCACAGTCTTATCCCATCAACACCAAGACAGCTGGTTTTGCCTTTTGTTCAGGGAGCAGTCACATGGTTCATTCTCTTTAATTCTGAAATCTCAAAGGTTTAACTTACTGTTTGATCTAGGGTAAGGCCAGTGATAAGCCAAGTCAAGAACTTGACTCTGTCCGAGATGCTGACATCATCAGTCTGTTTGTTTAAGATGGAATTTAATCATGGGGATATTTTTCCCTCTATACTTGCCTTGTTTATTATTTTTTCTGACTGCCAGCACTTTTGCTCAGCAGGAGAACTTCATTAAAGAGCTGTGATACAATTGGCTGATTCAGTCGTTCTGATGGCAGGCACACTGCTCCACAAGTGATGGAGCTGAGAAATTAAGCTAAGAGAGACTTCTTGCACCAGAAACTTGGCTGGGTTTATTAACCTTCAGAAGCTTGTTGATGGGCCTGAACCTAGGTTGCAGGATATTGGGGGTCGGGGGCAGGGGGGAATGGAACTCTAGAGCTGTGGGGCTGGGTCCTGGAGAAAGTCCAGGGACCCTGGGAACCTGCTCAGCAATGGGATCTAGACCAAGGCTATGAGGTAGGGACAAGACTTTTGCAGACAGACATGGTAAAACCAGGGAATGACAGTTTATCAGAGAGGCGTCTGGCATGAAAGAGGGACTGGGGAAGGGCCTAGGTCACTGCTTAAGCTCAGCCTGCACCAATCCTCCAAAAGTTAAAGCTCACAATCCCTCCAGAAAGGATATTCCAAGTTGAAAAGGATAGGCAGGGATGCCAGCATGTGCATGCCTCCAGAGGGCACTGGAATAAGTGCCCGGTAATGCACTAACTCAGCTCCTATTAGCGTAATGATTCTGCTGACCTAAATTCTCCCAAAAGTTTCGGCTACATGCATCATACTTTCCTTCCTGCCCTGGACTACCAGGCTCTATTGCTACACATTACTCACGTCTTCCAAACTCCAGCTCAGATATAACTGCTTAGCAGTTGAGGAGTGAAACGATATCTACATTTGTTCATCCTGGTCCCACTGAAATAAGCGTCAAGATGTGCATTGACTTCAGCAGTGTTCACAGAAGCTGTGTCAAAAGAGGAGAGGAGAGGATCTGGTACATTCAAATCACTGCATAAGCTCTCAGCAACCTGGATTTCATTTCTTGATACATTCTCCTGCCTGAATTACCAGCTTTTTCCACCCCCTCTATTCCTGTGTTGGGCAATGACCACTTAGAGACGTGCCATACCAAAAATAATTACCAACATCCTTGTTTCAAATCTGACCGCTTCCTCCCTCCCCTCCCAGACTCTCCAGCTTGTAATGATTCTCCTCTCTTCCCAGGTATTGCTAGTCATAGTAAAATCAGGGCTCTCTGAAGTTCATCATCTTTCTTTGGTGAGACCCAGATACTGTGCAGGACTAGTCCAGCAGGATGTTTTGGCATCATCATCACCAAAATGGATTTGCAACAGTTACCTTTCCGTGCATAATTTCCCAGAAGAAATCAAGGAAAAGCCCAGTGCCTGTCATGGCAGTGAGAAATACGAAGGCTGCTGAATGTAAATGAATCCACCAGGCAGCATAACAGGAACATCTTGGATGGAAACCACCTTTAAGAATAGTGTCAGTATGTCAGCACTGTTGTAAAGTGTGTCTGGGCTGTCCAGTCTGGCAGAGCCTCACTAATCCCACTGGCTGATGGTGAAATTGAGACACAAAAAAGGTCAAGCGACTTGCCCAAGGCAGAAAGGCAGTCACTGGCAGAGCTGAGATTAACACTCCTGTTCACCTGCCAGCCAATCCAGGACATGCTTCAGTCCCCTCCACATGGCATCACTCATTAGCATCATCTTAAAATACTGGTAAAAATCTCCTCTGCTGAGGAGCAGCAGCCCCCAGTGCTGAGAAGCCACTCCCATGGCCTGCCCAGAGGCACCACGAGGAAACTATTTAGGGCGGAGATGTTCAAGGAGGGCTCCCAGACGCTGGAGGTGTCCAGTCTGTTACACTGCAGGTGGGGACAGCCCCAGTCACGTTCTTGGCTTTGCTTTTTCTTTTTTCTGGGAAAAATTTTAACGATCCAGGGATGAACCACGCGAGACCTCGCTATGTCATCGAACGTCCTGCATATTCGGTCAGCCTCTTTGACGAAGAGTTTGAGAAGAAAAGCAGAAGTTATCCAGTTGGGGAAAAACTGAAAAACCTTTTCAGGTAAAACAGAATGCTATAGCCACTCCTGGGGCGCATCTAGACCAGATTTGGTTTGGAATTGGGATATAATTTGGACCTGGGGATATAGTTCTCATTTATATTCTGGTAAAACTTCTCCATGATCTTCAGGGCTTTGATGGATGAAAGACATTGGAGAAATGCAAATTGTTCTGAAGCAAGTGAAACTGGTTATCCTTTTCACTGCCTGAGCTGCTATGCTGTAGGGCAAACAAACGCAACAGTTTGCACTAAATACATTTGAGATTTGGGTTTCTGCTTTCCAATTCTTTTTAATAATGAAGAAAATATAATTGGTGATGTAGGTACGGGTGTGTGGATTATTCCTTTAAGCTTTCTAGCTGGGAATTCCTTTAATCAGCTTTCCAAATAAAGACAGCACTGGCTTTCCATAAAGAAAGATGAATAATCCTGCTGGTTGCCATCTCAGAAGTCTAGCTCCACTCCCTGGAAAAATGAAGGGAGTAGTATAGGAAAAGAGAAAACCATACGGGTTAGCGGGGTGGATGCGAAAAGCTGCATGTTTCAACTCAGGAACAATCTCCTTTCAGAAAAATTTGAGGTTTTTTTGACGAAGCACCTAAACAAATTTATCTTTGGCTCTGTGCAACTGCCCATGAATCTTTCAGCTGTGGTTCAGCTTTACAGCTCACCTAACTCCACCTGAGAGTATTAGAAACAAAGGCGTAAGATATTAGAGAGCTAAATCCTTCGCTCTGTGTGGGTTGTCTTTCACAGCTCTGGTAGCATTGGGCACGTCCCACAGAGTCAGGAACATCCCCACAATAATCCTCCATGGCAAGGCAAGCTAGTGAATTGCAAGTGCCTTGCGCTCGCAGGGGAGGGCTGCGCACCGAACACTGGGCTCAGGATTTGCTGTAGGAAATAGCAAGACATTCCTAGGAAGATCCTTCCTTGCTTTCTTCCTTGCTTCCTTCCTTATTTGTGTTTTTGTGTCTCCTCTAGATGTTCAGCTTCCAGATTCAAACTCATCCTCTTCAGCCTGTTCCCAATTCTTGCGTGGCTTCCCAAGTATAAAATTAAGGACTATGTTTTGCCTGATGTTCTTGGCGGGCTCAGTGCCGGGACGATTCAGGTACCACAAGGTGAGAAGAGGTGACTTTTCCCAATAGCCAGGCATTATGGAGCTGCTTCCCCCAGGAACTTTGGAGGGGGGATAACACTTTGTCACTTAACTTCAAGTAAAGATCCAAAAGACGACTGCTGACACTGTCTGCGGGGGGTTAGCTACCTTTACTGGTGACATGTAAAAACCCAAACTCTAATTCCAACATGGCTGCCCCAAGATTTCTCTGTGGAGTCCTGTCCCTGCCCTCTTTGGCCTGCGCTCTCCTGCCCACAGAGCAGCCATCTGCGCTGGTCACAGTGTCTGGCTGGAGCTGACGCAGCAGCGCTGCAGCTTGTAACCCCTACTGGCAGCAAGTAGAGTCCCCCACACCTCTGCAGGATCCTGTGCTGGTGCATGTTGCACCGCCTGGCCCACACTGTCTGCTGTGGCTCCTCTCCTCTTTGCACTGAGGACAGCGGGGTCAGAGAGTGACCAGGACAGGAGGCTGACTCCAGATGCAGGGACATGGGTGACTTGCCCATATTCCTTGTGTTTTCCAGGGATGGCCTTCGCACTACTGGCCAATCTACCTCCCGTCAATGGGCTCTACTCCTCCTTCTTCCCCTTAGTAACATACTTCTTCCTTGGCGGCATCCATCAGATGGTCCCAGGTAAGAGTCCTGCTCTACAGAGCAATTGTCTGTGTACGGCAGTTAAACACTGACTGCCTGGACATACTTTGTGTCCTGGGATAGAGATGTTTGGGCAGGCCTGGCCCATCAGGTGCTTATGAGATCCCTGATTCTAGCTGCACAGCACAGTCTCATTCCAGTGAACTGCTGCCATCTCCTGTGGTAGTGCTGGCTTGGTGATGGGCTGGGTGACTTGGTCTGGACAGCCTAACCGGTCGGAGTGTTTTCCAGGACAGGAAGCTCCCTAAAGCGAACTACTGACATCCCTGTGTTATGCTCAAGGTACTTTTGCAGTCATCAGCATTATTGTTGGGAACGTTTGCAATGAGCTGGCTCCAGAATCGGACTTCCAGTATTTTAATCATACCACCAACGAGATCAGTGTGAACACCACTGCTCTGGAAGCAGCTAGATTGGAGATCTCTGCCACGCTAGCCTGCCTGACAGCCATCATACAAGTAAGGACCCCCTCTACTGCCTCTGCTGTGGGCCTCTGGCCAAAGTTGACCCACACGGAGTCAGCTGAGCTCTTTCCC